TCAGAATCAGCGAAAATCATAGTTTGACCAAATAAAATATGACGTATATTTTTATTCCATCTCGATTTTTTTTCGCTCAAATACGCCATGTATAGCTTTTAAAATCCGTTTCGTTTTTTTTCTATATGATTTGTGTATTTATACGAGTATATGCAATAGTATTATGCAGTCGGAAAATAGCTTTCCATTGTTAATGTTTCTTGTAGATTTTACTGACTTGAAAAAATATTATACATGTATTTAATAGTTTTCTTCATGATTTTTGTGCATGGTTACGAGAAATAGCCTAGTCATTTTGTATGTTTGTTGTGAATTTCGACTCTAAAGTAGTTTACCTTAAAATGATATAAATTATCCGGTAGAATAATAATTATTACCATTTTTGTTAAGAAGCAGGCCTGCCCTTAATGACTTCTTTATCACGAATCATGCAATAACCAAAAGCGGTTATGAAGCCTCGATGTGCTAGATATTTCAAATTTAAGCGTTTTTCGTGGAACTGGATATGGTCAACTTTCTGTTACTATTTTATATGCATACAACACACTGATGATTTGCTTGGGTGGTTTATTGTCCTCTTTTTCCTCTAGCTAACTTAAAAGCTGAACAAAATATGAAAAAGATTCCCAGCAGGCACACAACATTGAATAAACTTTGAATCGACGTTGTTTTTCTATGTTGATTCAACATTGATTTATGTTAGATTTTGAAAATTTGTATCAACGTTGAAGTCTTACCATTGAATCAACATTGATAATCAACGTTGATTATATGTTGAAAGACAGTTGTTTCAACATTTATTCAATTATTTCTTACCCCGTGGGGATCTGGGTTAGAATAGGTCCTCAGTACCCCCTTGCTTGTCGTAAAAGGCGACTAAATGGGGCGGTCCTTCAGATGAGACCGTATAAACCGAGGCCCCGTGTCACAGCAGGTGTGGCACGATAAAGATCCCTCCCTGCTCAAAGGCCGTAAGTGCCGAGCATAGGCCTAAATTTTGCTACCCTTCACCGGCAATGGTGACGTCTCCATATCAGTGAAATATTCTGGAGAAGGACGTTAAACAGTATACAATCAATCAATCAATTATTTCTTTTGGAAAGGGGGGTGTCATACAGTAATAATATACTTACTTAATATTTCAACCGTTTCATTGCACGGTTGCTAAGATGCCTTCATAATTGTAGAAGGGATAGCGACCCTCTGATAAGACAGATAACTTTCAAAGTACAAAATAGAAGTACTACTCACAGTTTTCTTAATCAGTTTCCTGAGACTTCTGAGTAGTCAATTTGATGAGATCAAACATATGATGGAAACATTACTTTCTATTTCTTTTGCAATTTTTTTTGTAATTGTTTTATTATATTTAACAATAAAACATTTAAATCCAAAAACAAATGCCTTATAAATTGAATAAGTTGTATCTTTTTAAGTACCATTTTTAAAATGGTTAAATATTTCAAATACTTAATACAGTATTTTAATTAGAATAACTTTTTTTCACATGAAGAAATATTTAGAAGAAAGACAACCCCTCATCACAGATATATCTTTTTTCTTACAACCACATACAACATTGTGATTTTCCGACTTAGGAAACATCGATTCATGATGTTTTCTAACATGATCTAAATAGGTATAATAGAAAGTATTATTTTCATATGCACCTCATATATTACATTTAATATTGTGGTAATAAATCGTTACTCTTTCTATTCTCTGCGTTCGATTTCTTCATTTTCATGATTTGCACATAAAAATCATTTCTTAAAAAATGAGCAGCGCTTTATACTTCAAACTATTTTCCATGTGATTCTAATGTTATTGTTGTTTATAAAAATCAATATTTACAAATTTAAGACTTTTTTAGGTGAAATTTATAGCAGACGGTCGGGGCCCCGTAAATAAAAACATACGGAAGATCACCACATGAAAAAAATATATATATTGTAAACAGAAAGTGTTTAATTTCCTATCAATAGTTAACTGTGTAACAATAATTTTCACCAAAATACATTTTAAAAATTAATCATGTTACAAAACCCGAGGATCTACAAACGTTTAGTATTTTCACATGTGGTCATAAAATAGTCCAGAACATGACAAAATTCCAAGGTAAGATGCAAATCTTATACGGTACACCTTTTGATGTACCAGAGATGCATTTCGATAAATTATGTCTCTTCAATGATACTAGTACTCTGACATGCCGAACTGTTTTCTTTAAAGAGTATTTTTTTTAATCAAATCTTGGTGTTGAGTCCTGAGGGTTGTGTTATGCTGTCTTTATACATATTTTCGGATGTCTTACTGCATATCCTCTTAATTCGTACTTTATCAAATTTGTACTGGATTCATACTTATCATTGAATATGCAAAATTTCTACATTTACCATGCTTGTTAGTTATAATAGTTAGTAATGATATACAGTAGTGTGACTTTGTCAAGTCCGACCTCGTTATGGTCCGACAGTGTTATAGTCCGACACAAGATCATAGTCCGAATTATCTATCAGCGAGAAATAGGATTGGCACGCTCAGCGAAGATTCTACGTTGAATCAATGTCCACAAATCAACTCAATTTGAATTCAATGTTGATTAAACGTTAAATTTTCAACGTTGAAAAAGTCAACGTTGAATCAATATTGTATCTAGATTTATCAACGTCTAAACCCAACTTCAACTAATATTCAACGTTTAACAACGTTTTGTGCCTGCTGGGTTAGGTGCAACGTTTAAATACAGGTTGTGCTAGATATTCTGCTTAAAAGTTATTTTTTGTAACTTGATACATTGTATGTCCTGCTTTTTACACTCTGAGACATTTTGAATGTCCAACATAATACACTGATGATTTGCTTCGCTGGTTTATTTCCCTCTTTTAGATATCAGAAAAAAAGTCGTTCAAAAGTGTCATAAATATTAAGTGCATAGAAAATCGAACATCACTGATATTATTGCAATTATATATGTTACTCGCTAAATACGAAGAATGTATAGCTTTGTTGAAAAATAATATACTCAACAAATGCTTGAATACATTATGGTTTATTTTGAATTCATGTAAACGACATTTAAAGGATATGATTTCTAGACCATTTTTAAATCATATATATATGAATTTAGATAATGTCATAAAATGTGAGACATCTGCTGTGATCATAACATATTTGTACACATTTTGTTTTTGTTCATACGCTAAATTCTAAATTTAACATGTAAACTTTAAGATATGTACATATAGTTGTGCGCTCATATACACATGCTAAGTGCCCACTTTATCACAAAATGCATGAATGATTAAGGTTTATTAAATTACATACTTTTTTCAAAATGATTATTCAGGGACGTAGCAACAGGGAGGGTCAGGGGCCCTCCAATTTTCCCAAACATTACCTTTACTAAAGTAAATGTTCATTGAAAGGATGGTTGCCCCCTCCCTCTCTCCACTCGTTACCAGAGTATAGGGTTGCCCCCCCCCCCCACTCACACACTCACACAAAATAGGATTTTCGAGTTCGGGCAACCTTACATTCTTTAAATTTTATTTTTTAATTTTTTTTTATTTTTATTTATTTATTTTTTTTTTTTTGATTGTCAACTTTTTCAGGTAAGTAAAAAAATGTTCTCTGGTTGCCTCCCCCCAACTTTCAAAAACGATGGTACGTGCCTGTTATTTACCTAATTGGGTAAATTTTCACATAAAGAGAAATTTAGAGCCCAATAAACTTCGCAGATACATGTTGTCAAATTTATTCACAATTCTCTTCTACCCTCAGATGTTATACACATAAATTTAACCACGTGCATTTATTTCAAGTCATCGTTGGCAGCACTTACAGAATCACTCATATGCTCGTGCGTATGAACATTCAACACATGCAAATTGCAACAAAGATAAGTTTAATAGGCATATAATAATCATGTTCTATATTTTTTCTCCTTTATACGCCCGGAACGATGATCAGGGCATATATTATTTTTGCCCAGTCTGTCTGTTTTTTTCTGTTATCTTTTTGTTTGTACATAGGCAATTTAGCCACATATGATCCACATATGTTACCTTTCATATGAGGCTCATATGTGGATCATATGAGAATCATATGTATATACAATCATATGAGAATCATATGTGGCAAATCATATCAGAATCATATGATTACAATATGTAAATCATATGAAGTAATATACATATGATTCTCATATGAAAGATCCTGCATATGAGAATCATATGAATATTCTGACAATAATCATATGAGAATCATATGAAACTGATCATATGAGAATCATATGAAACAGTGTTCACTTATCTGTCCTTGTTATACTGAAGTAAAATTGCAATTTCAATAATATATATCAAAAGCTAAATTTAAATGTACATTAATTCAAAAGAATTTGTTAGTAATTAATTATATGTAAAGTTCTACTCTGTTTACCCTACCCACCCCCCCCCCTTTTCCTTCTAAAAAAAACCTTTCACAATTTTTTTTCTGTTATAATGCATTTCCCAGACAAAATAGATAAAGAATAAATTAATTTGCTTTTCATTTTAAATCTTTTGGGTTCGGCTAAGTACAATTAAAATAATTCCGTATTTTTCTCCGGGCCGGTTTTGTCTTTTATCGGATGAAAATATACGTCATTTTTGACGTCACTGCTGCAGCAGACGTGTTGGGTGTTTGGAAAAGGCAAGTGATCTCCTAACAATATTATTTTAAAGACTTTTGATTCATATTGTTTCAATATCATTTCATTATGGTGCGTATGAACTTTCCATATAATATTCTTATTACTTCAATACTTGCATGCATTTCGTAAACCTAACGTTCGTGATCTGTAAGTAAGTTTGGATAAAATTTGTTTCTGAATGAATGTAAACATTACATGTTAGACTAAAGGCATTACTACTTTTTAAAACTAAAATTTGTTTTCGTTTTGTTACGTATTGATATGAAAGTGAAAGTAGAAACCTTGTATGTCAGTTGGCGTTATGTATGTCGAGATCGTTATCAAGTCTGGATTCCTTCTACAACTTAATGACAAATGTTTGTTTATATGGCCTATAGATGCATTCGGCAACTTGAGTTCAGTGTCACAGTGCTGTTTTTTTTTTCAGTCCAAAGAGCCCGAAGCTGATAAGACTGACGATTGATCCTGAAGCTGATTGACAGACGATTGCATCATCACAATATTGAAGGTAAAAATAAATACTTGCAATAAAAAATCAAAGTATCTGTAATTCTCTTTATGACAAAATATTTCTTTATTATTATTTTTTTTTTTTGTTCTGTTATAATTCTAAATTGTTTGCATGGCTTAATTCATCAAAAATAAATTCAACTCAACTCAATACTCTACATTATAATTTTAATCCAGTGCACTTAAAATATGCAAAGTATGAATAGATTTTGCTGGCTGTAAAGGCTATGAAACTATATAGTATACAATAACTTTTTGGGAGAGGGGGGATAAATTGGATTTTTGAATTTCAACTAAAAATTTATAACAGTGACGGTATAATTAAATAGGCATGTGCATGTGTGTTGAAAGAACATCAGCTAGCTAATCCATTGAATATTTACATCTATGTATTCATTGACTGACAATTATTTTTCCCTCCAACACTAGTGAATGGTGCACGTGCCTATAGTTTCGGGTTAAATGTTAGATATATTTAAGACTATAGAGAACCTACAAACTTGTACTCTCTGTTTTTAATCGTTTAAGTTTGAATAAAATGTATTCTTAGAAAATATCTACTGTGTGAGACTGTGAGTATTTGTCTTACAGGTTCAATATACAGTCAGCCTCTCATAAGATAAAGAACAAATCCCAAGATCCAAGGCTTGCTTCAAAGTTAAGGTAACTACACACTGTTAAATAAACTTTTTTATAGTCTTCCCAAAAGTTTGGGATATCTTTGGAATCGCAATGTCTGTTTTCTGCCTGTTTACTTGTCTGTAGTATTTTTGTCCAAAAACAATATACATGTATTTGTATCAGAATCTTCTTAATTTTTTGCCAATCTGAATTAATATATATTGTTTGAACATTCCAAATTTAATTGTCAAAATAACAAAAAAATTGCTTTTTATGATTTTATTATGAAGCATATCTTTCAATAGTGTAATTGTTTTGCAAATTACATCATACGATTCCTCAAAACACCTAGTATAATATATATAACGTTAGTTTTATCTTGTATTGTATCTGTGTCAGTGAATTGGGCATACATTTGTTTGCTGATTATACCTAAGTAACTTTTATAACTCATAGAATTTAAAGAATTTATTTTATTTTTACTTTTGAAATTTTTGTAGAGACCATTCTGTGCCACAAAGAAATTGTTCAGGAAGAGGAGAAGTGGTGGATATTCATTTTTGGTACGGTACAGTTCAAAGAGATTTTCAAAATGGTCATGGAAGATCAAAGGGAGGACAACTGAAAACATTGAAAGATACAGAAGGAAAAAGAACAAGGAAATATATGGAATAATTATGAAATTGGGAGGATGTACACAGTCTTGTCTGAATTTGAGCTGTGAAAATTTCCCATATTCTTATTGTATGCTGGAATAATCAATAACTTGATTTTTCATAAATTTACAATGGAGAATACATGACAAATGTTATTGCTGATATTTCAATTTTGCTTTGGACACTTTCATGTCATATGGTATTTTTATACATGAACTAATTATGTTATTCATTTGTACATGTACAGTATACATGTTTAACTACTAAATCATTTTGCTGAAATCTTATAATTTGTACTCATGTTAGAATATGTTAAATACATGTATCGACAAATGCTACTGACTTGTTTGTATATTTTCTTGTTTAGAATGTACACTATGAAAAATAAGTTATTTCTCTTGATGAAAATAATTTTATCAAAAAAGTTTTGTAAGCATTTTAAGATATTTTAAAATATTTAACCCATGAAGATAGATCATTGTAATGTAATGAATTTTCATCTAAAGCAGAAATATCTGATTTTTAAATGTGTACAAGAATGTGAAAAATATTGAAAAAGAACACACAAGTGTTTCATATGATTTACATATGATGTCCTTTTCATATGATTCTCATATGTAAATGACTTGAAACACACATAAGTGTTTCATATAATTTACATATGACACCATTTTCATATGATTCTCATATGTAAAATGGTTTGAAACACACTTAAATCATTCATATGAAAATCATATGTAGTTATTTTCATATGATTCACATATGTGATCATATGTAAATCATATGATTTGCTTCATATGATTCACATATGATGCCCTTTTTTCTATGATTCTCATATGAAATCAATCATATGAGAATCATATGATACTCATATGAGAATCATATGTGGCTAAGTTGCCTGTGTACCTTCGCATTACTTTTGAACAGAGATAGAGACTTCATATCTAGTATGCAGTACTCTAGTCATTACGTTCTTTGTAATGACGATAAGATAAATTACTTTGTGACCTTGACTGTGAACCTATTGCCAAAGATAGCTTTTTCGAACTTTGCTGCCGTCGGGCACATAGTGTCTCACAAACACATGTAATATCATTTCATATGCTTTAGAACCGGTGCGTCAAGGGGGGGGGGGGTTGCAAATGTATAACAAACATAAACTGCATTGAAAATTGGGGTTTACCTCTTTTGTTGGTTAAGCCCCCCCCTCCTTTCAATTAGCCCCCACTTTCAATTTGCTTCCGACGCCTATGCATAAGGGATGTAACTAAATGTATGAAGAGGGGGTCTTGAAACTTCGGAAGTTTGTTACATCTCTAATTTAAATGTGCAGTAATAATTCAGTGTTTGATAAGACGCAATATTAAAAGCAAAATTGAGTAACCAGCCTAAAATTTTTCTATGTGTTTATAGATTAAGATATTATAGTCACATGTCTCAAACAATAGTGAGAAATTTTCCGTAGGAAGAATCCTCGTTATTTAACAATGCAATCATCAATTTAAAACCAGTCGTTTAAATACAATTCAGAAACTTTTTGCAATAATGACACAAAGCTATATGTATAAAGTACTTTATTTCTTACATGAGAGATGAACTAATTGCAGATCGTCTTATTCAAATAAAGTGACTAGCATGCAGACGACATACCGGTAAGTGAAAAGCAAAGTAATCAGCGTAGGTTTCATTTCTATTAATAGCAACAAGTGTCTTAAAACTAAACATATTGCAAATTAAAGAGTCCTTGTAGATTGTTGTCGCTATTTCTCACGTCCAATGTTGAAAATCCGCAGTATGTTTTTAAATAATATGACTGACAAGATATAATTTTATATTTAAATGCAATTTTGAAAAATGTACATATATAAGATAAAAAGAGAGCAAAAACAATGGATCTTAAAAAGTTTTTTTTTAGTCTCTCTTTATTATCAGTCAAATATTTTACAATTCCAATACATCCATTCGTCTTTTTTCGATAAAACTAATAAAAAGGAATTGAACAATTGCAATGTTTATTTTAAAAATTGAATGCATTATAATTCTTTATCTAACTGTATACATAATGAAATATAATCCTTACAAATATTGAGCTTTAATCTTTTCCTTATTAAATTTCCAGTGCTTTGTTGGCTTCTTCATACATTTTATGGCCGCGTTAATTTTGCAATGCTTATCAATGTACCATATATGATATAGGGAAGAAAGCGATACAAAATTCAGTATTTATATAAATACCTTACTTCATTATTTTTCAGCGGGAAAATATCTAACTGACAGATGAGTCATACCTGGAATTTTATATAAGGAATAATATGTTGTAAAACATGTTGCACTCGATTTCCTTTTTTAAAAAATATCGAGTCAGTGTAAAATTTCATGAAAAAAACATATAACGATCTACATTTTTGGTCACCTGTGAAAAGTATGACATTTTAATACCGGTATAAGGTGTGTTAAATATACCATTCAAAAATGTGAATTTTGATACATTAGAGAGGTTTCGAAAGATACCGTGTACGTGTACTTGTACGTGTAAATTAAAATTGTAAATAGCTTCCTAAAACAATTTATATCAATTTGGAGTCTACAAATCTATTTTTAGATCAATGTAGAGGAAATAAATCCTTGTATTTTACCTAGAACGTCACGTGCAGGTCAATACAACGTGATATTTTTCTAACATAGTTGGATCTCAGCCAATCAGATAAGTGGAAATTATTCAATCATATAATAAAATGTATTGCTTTCGGCAATTAATGCTTTTCTGAAGGTAAACATGTACATGTATTTATACACCAATAGTTGAAATGTAAAAAGAGGTATCCTGAATTCATGTGTTCTATCTTATGTATGGATGAATAAATATTTCATTTAATAACATGGTTGAAATCTATTGCAGGATATTGATAGGCTAATTTCTACATAACTGGGACACGAGCGTCGAAAATGCATTTATTTTACAAATGCTTAAAATACAGAAGTTTTTAAAAAAATAATTTAGGAAGAGAGATTTGCCTCAATAAACTTCCAAAAGATTTTATAATTATATTAACAGATTTAAAACGTGTAACCACAAGCTTCCGATCTTAGTAAGTAGATAAACTAATATTAAGAGGTCTCTCAGAATATGTTATTTCTGTAATAAAATATACTTTATGTATATTGTAAGTAATGGAATGTCAATATTTTTTCTCATTAAGTATGAAACTTCTTATTAGAGAGGTTTCGAAAGATACCGTGTACGTGTACTTGTACGTGTAACTTACACGTACAAGTACACGTACACGTAACCATGACTTTTTATGTAATATTTTCTCAAACGTGTACGCGTACGTGTGACGTAACAAAAGATGTCATAGGTTAAATTTTATCAAATCAAAGTGATCGTTTGCAAAATGGAAGATTTACGCCTGCTGGCTGCTACTGACAGAGTGATGGAAGAAGAAATTCTCCTTCTTTCTATTATTGATTCAGACAGAAGAGCGTTTGAAAAGAATTTTGATCTTGAAAGGCTAACAGAAGAGAGATGCAAATTACTTTTCAGGTTTGAAAAAGCTGATATACACATTGTATTCCATGCATTACGAATTCCTGATAAAGTTATTTGTCCTAACGGGATTATTTGTTCTGGACTCGAAGGGCTGTGTATTTTGCTGAGAAGACTTGCTTATCCTAATAGACTTTCCGACATCGGCAAATATTTGGAAGACCAGATTCAGTTCTGTCCTTTATTATTAACAACATGTTAGAAATAATTTTTTCCAATCATTCTCATCTCTTAGCTGACCTTAACCGCTCATGGCTGTCAAATCAGAGTTTGGATGAATTATCTCATGCTGTTCAAATGACAGGTGCCCCTTTGCCTAATTGTTGGGGATTTATTGATGGAACTGTACGACCTATTTGCCGACCATCTAGAAACCAGAGGATAGTTTTAATGGACATAAAAGAGTCCACGCACTGAAATACCAAAGCATAGTTTTGCCAAACGGTATTATAGCGAACATGTTTGGACCCATTGAAGGGAGGCGACATGATGCCGGATTACTTAGAGAAAGTTGCTTGTACGACCAGTTAGAGAGGCATATGACAACTCCAGCTGGTGATGCATATGTGCTATATGGGGACCCAGCGTATCCACTGTCGACTTTCATCATAACACCATACCATGGACGTGTGATATCCGCACAACAAGCCTTATTCAACAAAAAAATGTCAGCGGTTCGTACGTGCGTTGAGTGGGCATTCGGGAAAATTCTTAGCTTGTTTTCCTTTCTTGATTATAAGAAAAACCAGAAGTTATACTTGCAGCCAGTTGGAAAGTACTTTTTAGTGGCGTCCATTCTCACTAATTGTCACACATGCTTATACGGAAGCGAGACGGGTATGTACTTTGGTTTAGAGCCACCAACTCTCCAGGAATATTTGGCAGGATAGCGGTTATATAAACATGTCGTGCGACTAGTGACTAATCATTCGTTGATAACTGTGAAAAATATTGACAGATGAAATTTATATGTTTTACTTCTAAATTCTAATAGATTAAAGAGAAACAAAATTATTGTCATAAATCAACATATCTACTCTGACAGTTTCTATCAACACAAGAATTTTCTACTTTCTATCTGATAACATCTTAAATAAATTTAACATCATTGTATTGTGTTGTTTGTCCATTTCCATTCTTTGTTTTCTTTCCTCCTTCTCCAATTCAAAACGCTCTCTCTCTAGCCTAAGTTCCTCCCTCCTTATGTCCATTTCGTCGCGCTTTAGTTGGCTGTCACTTTCAGATCTTGTTTGGAGATAGGAGAGAACAGCGCTGCTACTTCCTCTGGCTTTTTTGCATGAAGAAGACCGGGGACTCTCGTAATCATCATCTTTAAAATGCCAGATATCTATATAAGCTTTTAACCAAAATATCAAAATTTAATTAAGTTCTATACACATGTATATGAATTCAATTTACCCTTTTCTGGTGACAAGCTCTACCATAGCTCTCTTTCTCAAGTTGACGGCTTTAGCGTTTTCAATGGACTTCTTTTTGCTCCATTTTCCCTTTCGGATTTCTTCTTCCTCGTACAATGTACGTATATCCTCAAGCAAAAGCTCCTTTTCACTGTACTCTTCATCTAAACCTGACCTAAACGAACACAAGAAATCGTGAACCGTATGTAAGAAATCGTGACACTTTATGAAAGTGTTTAAACGAAATATAAAGAATCTGGATATTAAACTTAATCAATTCGAATTGGTTTACAGGGAGCTTATTTTAATTTGTCATTTTGATCTTGTCGATATTGAGTTAATAATAGAAGAGTCCTCTCCGTGCTCTTCTGCTGTCTATTTAAAAGTGTCCGTTAAGAAACTT